AAGTAGCTCACATGCTGAAAAAGTGTGAGAACCCCTGCCCTAAATTAAGCATTTTTAGGTCCAAAAAGTTCTTTAAACATGTTTACTGTGTGTGTTTTGTATGAAAGAGTGTGAATTTTATTTTTATTTTTTCAATTGTATTTCTGGTAGTTTTTATTACATCCATATGACACAACTCCAGCAGCAGATTGTGAAATAACAGGTTGTACTGAAAAAAAAGGATGTATAACACTTCATTAGGGGGTAAAAGGAGGAGTTTTAATAGCAAAATTAAGAAAAAAAATCCAGGTGAGGACAAATGTACTCACATTGCCTTTAGCTCTGTACGTGATGTAACTGAGCCACATTTGTCCTGCCTGATTACACATACTGTATATTGTTTGAGCAGCTCTTGAAGTCATTCTAGAGTGTTATATTGTCCGAGAAAGAGGAAATTAGCACGCTTCTGTGACGACAAATCTCCGCTCTGGTCCTGAAAGTTGTGAAAAGTGCTTATAAACTCATCATTGTGAAGAATTAGGATGCTCTGAATGTGTAAAAAAAAAAAAAAAGTGAGGAAGAACTTTGGAGCACTGCAAAGCGTTTTAAAGCGAACTTGTTCTGTTTTCCTGGTTTTTAAGACAGTAAAAATCAGGGACAGCTCCTTTCTAAAGATTAAGGTGGCCTAGAAGCACTGTTAATTGCCCAATCTGTTACTTTTGACATCCCTGGAACATTAAAACAAATTGCATAAAGTTTTATAATATTGAAAAACCCTTAAGACCAGCCTAGCCTGTCCCATACTCTCTCTATCACTGTGTTACGCTTTATTTCTTTGCTTCATGAAACATTTTCCGCCTCATAACACAGCCTGAGGTGAAGTGGAGGTCACTGACAGACAGGGGGCGCCGCTCCACACTCACAAACAGAAAGTCAATGTGCGGCACGTCCAATTGCAGACGACAAGGACAAAACACCTGGGCTACAGGGACTAAACCGGGACTAAACCAGGACTAAACTGGGACGAAAGCAAGACTAAACCAGGACTAAACCAGGACTAAACTGGGACAAAACTGGGACTAAACCAGGACCAAATTGGGATGAAAGCAGGACAAAACTGGGACTAAGACTGAGACTAAAACAGGACTAAACTGGGACGAAAGCAAGATGAAATCAAGCCAAAACCAGGACTAAACTGGGACTAAACCAGGACCAAATTGGGATGAAAGCAGGACTAAACTGGGACTAAAACTGAGACTAAACCAGGACTAAACTGGGACTAAAAGTGAGACTAAAACAGGCCTAAACTGGGACAAAACTAGGACTAAACTGGGATGAAAGCAGGACTAAAACAAGACTAGCCCTAGGACTAAAGAGGCAATCATCATTATCACTGTCATCGTCATCATCTTTCCAAAGTTCAGTGTAATCCAGGTTAGTAGTAGCAGGATTGATATTCAGAAGTCAGTTTTATAAAGTGCAGTGGTTAAACTGCACACGAGGTAGGAGGCAGATGTGTAAAGAGAACAAAGAGGGGCAAAGGCTTGGAGTTTAGATCTCCTACTGCACAGGTGGAGAACTTGATTGAGATGACTGATGCTCGACTTGTAGATCCTGGGTAAGTTCGCCATCGATTGGTTGAACTATGAACAGGGAAAAAGACCCGGCCAGCTCGCTGTGACTATTTCAGCACGCCACTCACATCAAACCACTCAGATCAGTCCCATATAACATCTGCTGCAGCCGTCCCAAATGCTCCCCCCACTGCCTGCCTGACTGTCGGCTGCACCATGATTAAAACTATTAGCCCTGTTTACATGTGCATGGGTATTTTTAAAAACTGAGACATTTCCCTTTGTTTGTACCTGCCTTTTACACGCAAACTGCAAATTTGCTTCTGAGAACTAATCTTTCTAAAAACTCCGGCTAGAGTGGAGATTCTGGAAAACTACGGTTTGGTGTTTGTGTGTAAAGTGAGATAAAAGTGCACCAAAAGTGTGACCAATGTTTTCCTTTTGCTCTGATGATGATGACGGAGCATTCAGAGCAGCAGTCGCATTTCCTCTGCTGCAAACATTTTTCATGTGTTTGTATTTGCACACACAGCTGATGGATCATATCCATGACCAGAGTCCAATGAGACTCAAAGGTCAGACATTTTACCACTTCTTTAAAGTCTGGTGTTCTACCGTCTGAGCTAACCAGGCTCACATGCCTGAAGTTTGCTTTTATTCACTCATTATTTAGGTCTAGTTTATGGTGTAGTAAGTTGAAAAAATGCTATATTTAAGTTTTATATAGAAACAGACACCGCATATATTTTTTAAAATGATTTTTAACATGTCTTTTATTTTGGGTGCAATACATACTCCGACCAGTAGATGGTGTCATTAGTGCTACTGTGGGGACTAGAGGAACACAGCGTAGCGCAGCTTCAGAATAGCTGGGTTTCACGTGACGTCACAGGGCTACGTTTGTCAGCACGCAAAATCAGATGGAGGGCAGGAAGTGAACTGACTGGAGGAAAATGCCGATGTGTTGTGTAGTTTACGGCTGTGCCAATCGTTCTAACCGAGAGAAGGAAAAGTGATTTTTTTACAGTACCGAATATAGTCCACAAAGGTCAGAAATGGGAAAAGCCGTCAGAACAACGCCGTAAAAAGTGGATTACAAACCTGTTTGCGGTCGGGAGGAGCAGAATTCACTAATGCTCGTGTCTGCAGTGAACACTTCAACAAAGGTTTGTTACAAAGCTAAATTGTTTTTTGTGGTTTACCTAAACATAAACTAATCATTAACGACTAACGGCGAACGACATTTGTTGACATTAAATAGTTCAGATAGAGGTTAGTGCCGATACACTGCAGTTTTTCCCATAACGTCTATACACATAAAATAAGAGAAACACTCACCCCGGCAAAGACCAAACCATAATCATCATTTAGGCGTTTTGCACCGAGGTTGAGGACACATCCACTGACAAAAAAAGTTCTATGTCTCCAAACTTTTGTACTTTGCCTTCATCTGTTGTCTGGTGTAGAACGATGTCTGAAGAGCTAAATAGTTCATGATCTCCTCTGCCTCGATTGTCGGCAAATCTTTTACTTCGGTTGAAAATTCTCTCATTTTCAATAAGATCAGGATCACACCCAATATATTTGTCGACTAACTGCTCGTACTTTTGCCTCACTACTGGCTCTAAATCCTGACAATAAGAACTTTTCTCCATATCTGTGTTCTCCAGAGCCGTGTTTGTCGTGTTTGTCTTCACTTCCTGCCCTCCGCCTGAAATTCGCGCATCATCGTGATCACGTGACTGAAACCCTCTTATTAAACAAGCTGTGGCCAGACTAACGCGTCTCCTCTCCGTCTATCCACAGGTACGATTTTAAAAAGTTGTTTTATTAACTCAGACTTGGTCCAAACACATTTTTGTTCGTTGTGTAAAGGTTTTCAACCAATTGTGAAAGTTTCAGAGAGTTTAGCCAATGTTAGCAATGTATTTTTTGGTACTATTTCATACAGTCCCGTTTGTAGCGACAGTTAAACAGTTAAGTAGTAATAACGTGTTTCAAACTATATTTGAACAAGGTACTTTTCTGAAGTGTTCTGTAACATGCTTACAGTTAGTTTATACCATTTTGAGAACAGATATTGCTCAAGTCCAAGTGTAAAACAGTAGCCATTTGTATTTTTCTTGTAGTTTAAGCTGAGTCCGTTTTGCGGCCATACGCAGGCGCTTTTCCTTTTATGTGGCCGACCCACTTGTGTGTGTACGTGACAGACAGAGACGTAGGAAAGATACAGACAAGGAGTTCAGGAGTAAGAGTGCACTTATTGAACTGCAGTAATGTAATAAGGACACATATGGTAAAGAGTGTATGTACATGTAAAGATATGCATAAGAGTATGTTTATTATTTTATGTATAACTATATGTAATTTATTGTTTTGTTGATCATATAGTTTTGGAGAGATTGAGCCAATTGAAGTGGAATGAGAAAGAAATGAATAATTGAATGATTGTCAGAATTAAACAAGCTGTGGCCAGACTAACGTGTCTTCTCTCCGTCTATCCACAGCAACACCACACCTTTAGGCCACACAGTCTAACCCTAACTGTGTGCCACTTGCTACCACCCAGCTTTCCCCGAGGGCTAACAATGGCCACTTGCTTTGCAACCATTCATCTTATAAATACAATTTGGGTTTCTTTGAAAAGTAGCTGTGGTCTCTTCTTGTATCATAAAGGTTTCGCTTTATGAATGTTTCATGTTTGTAATCATTTAAGAAGCAATTAAGAAGTTTCTTGCCATGCTGGAAGACTTCATTCCTTGTTCCACGGTTTATTGCCTATATGCAGTAGTTATTTCCAACTGTTCTTGTTATAAATATAGAATCACCTGAACAGGGACTTGAACCCTGGACCCTCAGATTAAAAGTCTGATGCTCTACCGACTGAGCTATCCAGGCTATTAGGCTGCACAGTCTTGCTCTTGGAAATCTAGAATCGCCTGAACAGGGACTTGAAACACAGACCTTCAGTTTAAAAGGCAGCCACAGTTGTGTAAATCCTGAATGGCAACATGAAGCTGAAGCACAGAAAATAGCACTTTTGCCAAAACCCGGGATTGAACCAGGGACCTTTAGATCTTCAGTCTAACGCTCTCCCAACTGAGCTATTTCGGCATGGGTTTCAGAAAACATAGCTAGTGCACATATACAACTCTTTACATAATCTAATAGGACATCTGCCGGTCATCTCTACTGTTTTGCTGCACAACATTGACAAAATAATCAAGAAAACTAATGACCCTGACATGATTTGAACACACAACCTTCTGATCTGGAGTCAGACGCGCTACCGTTGCGCCACAGAGCCTAAGGTTAGCTGCTGTAGTGCCAGTGACATCACATTTCATTCCAGTGGAACATCCATGTGTGAAGACAAAGAAGTCGCTGATGTAGCTGTGTTATCACTATGCCAGAGGGTTGTCAGATCCCTTCGGCGTTGACAGTATTGTTGTTGTGGCTGAGAGGTTAAGGCGACGGGTTTGAAATCCGTTGGGGTCTGCCCACGCAGGTTCGAATTCCTGCCAGCAACGGCATCTCCAGCTCAAGTTGGGGAATGCGGATGCTATTTATTTATTTATTTTTTTTTTCTTGTTTTCTTTTTTTGTATTTTAGACAATGAATTTTTGTGTGTTGTTGTGGCTGAGTGGTTAAGGCGATGGACTAGAAATCCGTTGGGGTTTCCCCGCGCAGGTTTGAATCCTGCCAACAACGAGGGTCTTTCTATTATGCATAAAGACAGTGTCTTCTAACACAGGTCGACAGGGAGAGGGAATTCCAATGTTTGAGACAGCATCTCAAAGGAGCTTGTCCAGGGCGGCTGCTGAAAAGCCTACATCAGGGCAGAATGCTGCAAAGCCTAAATTGGTTCAGTTTAGCGTCAGAGAGCAAACTGGCAGTGGTGGGATTTGAACCCACGCCCCTGACTTAATCCAGCGACTTGAACCATGCACCTTCAGATTAAAAGGCAGACGCGGTTGTAAAAATCGTGAATGGCAACATGAAGCTGAAGCACAGCAAATCCCATGTTTGCCAAAACCCATGAATGAACCAGGAACCTTTAGATCTTCAGTCTAACGCTCTCACAACTGCACAATTTCAGCATGGTTTTCTGAAATCATTGTGTATGACATGGTTCTTTGAATAAAGTCTCAAAGCAACCACTGATACCCATTTTTGTTGCTTAACAGATCTGTGGAGAGGCGAGCCTACAGGTTTGAATCTCATCCAGGTGCAGCTTGGTCTAGTTACGATGGCGCTCTATGGAGGATTTATGCAGGTTGATGTGAATAAAAAACGATGCTGTGTGCATGATGTTATTTTCAAAAACGGAGGGAAGGAAATATTTGTTTCTCCACATACCCGGCTGGGTGTAAACGTAGCCTTAGTCCACATGACTCATGCATCATGTGACTACGAGTACCACGAAAAGGGCCCAAAATAACACATGACATGAACTTGAGGGACCAAAGGAACATTTACTGCAGAGGTTATATTTAAAACTTCTGTGTAAGCATCAGCCAACCCTTGAAACAGTGTTTGTACCACCGAGACCACCGGATTGCCGAAGGTTGAATACTGCAATCTGTTATGTTGTCTACGATCATGAGCTGAGCACCTTAGTGTAATGTGAGCTCGGTATTATTATCGTGGGACTGGTCATTGTCAGGTGAGTCAACAGTTATGGATGTCAGTCTCTGGATTAATCATGACAGTCAGTGTGGGCTGCCATGATTAAAACTATCAGTCCACGTGACTCACATGCATCACGTGACTACGAGTACCGCGAAAAGGGCCCAAAATAGCTCAGACAACAGTGCAGAATATAATATAATACAAAGGAATATTAGATTTAGTTTATTTTTGCTGCTATTTACAGGGGTTACAAGAACTAAACCAGGTCTTAACTAGGACTAAACTAGGATTTAGGGATTAAAATCACAGTATTAAATCACAACTAAACCATATACTAACAATGATCTGAACCAGGACTAAACCAGGACTAAAGAAGCACTAGATCTGGACTGAACCAGGACTAAAGAAGCAACTAGATCTGGACTAAACCAGGACTAAAGAAGAACTAGATCTGGACTAAACCAGGACTAAAGAAGAACTAGATCTGGACTAAACCAGGACTAAAGAAGCACTAGATCTGGACTAAACCAGGACTAAAGAAGAACTAGATCTGGACTAAACCAGGACTAAAGAAGAACTAGATCTGGACTAAACCAGGACTAAAGAAGCACTAGATCTGGACTAAACCAGGACTAAAGAAGAACTAGATCTGGACTAAACCAGGACTAAAGAAGAACTAGATCTGGACTAAACCAGGACTAAAGAAGAACTAGATCTGGACTAAACCAGGACTAAAGAAAAGACTAGACTAATCTGGACTAAATTGGACTAAACCAGGACTAAAGAAGCAACTAAATCTGGACTAAACCAGGACTAAAGAAGAACTAGATCTGGACTAAACCAGGACTAAAGAAGAACTAGATCTGGACTAAATTGGGACTAAACCAGGACTAAAGAAGCACTAAATCTGGACTAAACCAGGACTAAAGAAGAACTAGATCTGGACTAAACCAGGTCTAAAGTAGCACTAGATCTGGACTAAATTGGGACTAAACCAGGGGGGGTTGGAGGAGGGGTGCAGGCGCAAAAACAACCACCAAGGGCATCTGAGGTCAGAAACGGAGAGGAGAGATGATTAGTGTACAGGTTCTAAAGATGGACTAAACCAGGTCTAAATCTGTACTAAACCGGGACTATAATGACTGCGCTGACACCTTCTCTCCCCGAGCGCCGGCCTCCTCCTGGGGCATGAGACGAGAGCCTGGGGGGGGTGGAGGACAGCGGTGCAAAAACAACCGCCATCGAGATACAAAGGTTATCTGAGGTCTTACGGAGAGATGATTGGTGTACAGGCTCTAAAGACGGACTAAACCAGAACTAAACCAGGACTAAAACAGGATTAACTGAAACAAAAAGAGACGTAACACCTAGGGTACTTTCTTGCTTCCTCAGCCCCGAGCGTAGGCATCCTTCTTGGGCATGATGGGAGCCTGGGGGGGTGGACCTTGGAGGTGCAAAAAGAACAAATAACACAAACAACAAATGACACGACATGAAAAGATCGTCTGAGGTCAAATGGAAAGAAAGATTATTAGTGTAAAATGGACTAAACCAGGATTAAACTGGTACTGAACCAGGATTAAACCAGGACTGAACCAGGACTAAACTAGGATTGAACCCAGACTAAACCAGGACTGAACCAGGACTAAACTAGGCCAGTACTGAACCAGGACTAAACCAGGACCAAACCAGGACTAAACCAAGACTGAACCAGGACTTAACCAGGACCGAACTAAGGCTAAACTAGGACAAAACCAGTATTGAACCAGGACTGAACCAGGACTAAACCCGGACTGAACCAGAATTAAACCAGTACTGAACCAGGACTGAACTAAGGCTGAACTAGGGCTAAACCAGGACTAAAGAAGCACTAGATCTGGACTAAACCAGAACTAAACCAGGACTGAGTTAGAGCTAAACTAGGCCAGGGCTGAACCAGGACTAATCCAGGACTGAACCAGAATTAAACCAGGACTGAACTCGGACTGAACCCAGACTAAACTAGGACTGAACCAGGACTGAACCAGGACTAAACCAGGACTAAACCAGTGCCAAACTAGGGCCAAACCAGGACTGAACTAGAACTAAACCAGGACTTGACCAGGACTAAACCAGGACTAAAGCAAGACTGAATGAAGGTTGAACCAGGCCTGAACCAGGATTGAACTGGGACTAAACCAAGAATTAACTCGGACTAAACCAGAACTGGACCAGGACTAAACCAGGACAGAACTAAGGCTGAACTAGGACTAAACCAGGACTAAAGAAGCACTAGATCTGGACTAAACTGGAACTGAACCAGGACTGAGCTAGGGCTAAACTAGGACTAAACCAGGACTGAACCAGGTCCGAACCAGGACTAAATCAGGAATTAACTTGGACTTAACCAGGACTGAACTAGGACTAAATCAGGACTAAACTAGGACTGAACTCGGACTGAGCCAGGACTAAATCAGGCACCCCCGCCACCATCTCTCTGACTGTGAGCGGGGTCGCCTCTCCACAGATCTGACCTGTAACTTGCTCTGGTTTGGTCTTCATGCAGATAGAAACATGTAACACCATTCTGTAGACCAATCTAGACAAAGCAACAACATCTCCACGAAGAAAAGCAGCAATTTGACGGAGCCTCCACCGGAAAAGTGACACAATGCACCTTTAAATGTCTGGATAAAGAATATGAAAGTTTGAAAAATCCAGAGGAGACTCGGTGCTGAGTCAGGACAGTGAGTGACATCGCTGTGCAAATGTGTGTCCGTGCGCCTGTGTACATAGAGACGCACCGAGAGGAGGAAGAGGAGGAAGAGGAGGAAGAGGAGATGAAAGGCGTGACCCTGAGCGGACGCCGTGTTTGTTTAAGTCCTGCCTCACCAGCACATTCACACGCCCCTCGCGCTCTTTAAAACAACATTAATTAACTTTAGTGAACGGGAACCAGCAGGAGGCGGTGTAACGCCCCAGACCCGACCTTCACCCGCCCCGCGCCCGCCAAACAAACCCACACGGGAGACGGCACAGCGAGGACACAGGAAGGAGTGGAAAAGTAGTAGTAGTTTTTCCATGTTTTAGAAAGTACACCAGCATTTTTCAACCAATTATGCGAAAATTGAGTCTTGTGGGTTTTAAGTCACGTTAGAATGTTGTTACCTCCTCAAAAAGAGAGCTGGAGTTGCGTTTTGTTTCATTCACATGTTTGAGTAACCCTTTATTATTAGTCTGTACATCTCCAAAGTTCCTCTGTTCCACCTTGTGATGTCATGAAGTGGTAGTTTTGAAATGAACAGCCACATTTTACATTTAGTTCAGTAGAGATTGGCAATTCCAAGACTGAAATGATCCAAATGTTTCTAGTGAAGGTGTGCAGAGTTTAAAGAACACAGTGGAGCACTTCCTGTATTACCACATGACATCACAAGGTGGAACAGGGTGTTTTCACTTTGAGAACATAAACTAAATGTGCAGGGTTTGTGTGTTAAATTCCTGTGAAACAAAACTAACTAAACTCCAGGTCTGTTTGTGATGAGGAAACAATATTAGAACATAGATGAAAGAATGTACTAATATAGACCCTTTAAAGCAAAGTGTGAAGAATCCCTCATTCGTCCAGGCAGAATCCACAGCGAGGAGAAAATTCTGTTTGTCGGCTGGATAAAAGTTAGTTTGGTTGAAGACGTTTCTCAGTTCATCCAAGCTGCTTCTTCAGTTCTGGTCAGACGCTGGTGGACACTTTCTTATATCTGTCTGCAGGGAGGAGCTAACTACACTGAAACTACTCTGAAACTAACACACACACTTGTTTACAGTTTCTGTTAGTTAGGCTACGATCAGACTGCAGCCTGAAGTGACCCAAATCCAATTTTTTGGCCTCTATGTGACCTGTATCTGACCTTTTAATGAC